CCCCTTCCCCGCGCCGCCCCGCTACTAGAGCGCGCCTCTCACACGCGATGGTGCGCGCTACCTCGTTTTCGCGATCGCCGGGAGCAACAACAACAATAACCGCAAATTCGGCAAGTGAGCTGAAATTGTAGGGCACTGGTTCTCGGGGAGCGAGCGGTGGGATAATGCGACGGGCCTGATGGGCGACGCAGTGCTCTGCTCAGCCGGCCCCCTCCTTATTTTGCGTATTATTTTGTCATTTGTCACTTTAGCCAGGACACGCGGATGACATTGTGAGCACGGGCACGGGCCGTGTGGGTCCGACCGGAAAAAGGGGGAATGGGGGGGACGGTACACTCGGGCCTTCTCTCCTACCCGACCCGGCGAGAAGTGTAGTTAAGGCCAGGGATTCTCTAAAGCTAGGTAACTTTTTCGTGTCCACACTTCTACATGTTTGGAGTGCCTGGCTCGAGTGACGTCACATGACAACTCGTTTGTCGAAGGCAGCTTGCCATACACCTACTCACAATTAATCATTTCTCGTCTGTTTTTTTTTTTTCGAGGAGGAAGGGGGAGCGGGGGTGGAAGTGGAGGGTCAAAACACTAGATAAAACGAAAGACAATTATACGTTACTTATTCGTTCCTGAAAGACATTTCATCCCAACCAAGTACAGTAGTAGTAGTATTTTTGCCCAGTTATTTTGCTGTCTTTCTCTTTTTCCACATGACTCATGATAAAGAGTCTCTGAAAACTCGTCAAGTCAGATAACACCACGGACAAATTTCAGAGGATTTCTATTTACATGATGTTTTTATTCATTAACAGAAAATATTTACAAGAATAATATCACAGAGTCATTAATTAAACAATTATAGCGGACAGAGGCGAATCGACCATGGTCAGTGATAGCAGTTTCAATATAATGCCAAATTATCGGAGTATCACAATCACTTGTCAAACGACTATAATCTTATCTTTTTATTTCGCCCCGTGCTAAGAAACGAAAGCGTTTGGTAATTAATCTAATAATACAAAATTAACAAGTGATAAGGAGAAATTTTTACCGTTAGTCCTTTTACACCAGTCATCGGTTTGGTCCGTGGTATTGAAACTGCAGCACAGTTTGGCAAATACGTGGACCAGGTGACCTTGCCGAGACATCATTCAGTCAGTACAGTATGCGGTAGATGAGCGATGTATAAGGTCAACGGGAAACGGGCGCGTCCACGGTAAGTATACTTACTATAGTTCCAAACCGGCAGTCAAGTTGCCCTATTTACGAACAGGTCATCAACGCGCATCTCAAAACTTAATCTCGAAAAACAGGGGATTTGGGCGGTGCGACGCGTTACTTGCGCGCCGAGAGGACGAGCCTGCAGCCGTGGACGGGGCTGGGCAGGATGCAGCGAGGGTCGAGGGTCACCTCCTTGGGCATGTCTGGCGCCACGGCCACCCGGGCGCGGGTCAGGATGGTAAGCAGGGCCATCTTGACCTGCACGAGTCCCAGGCGCATCCCGATGCAGATTCGGGGGCCATCGCCGAACGGCATGTACACCAGCTGGGGCCTGGCCTTCTTGGCCTCCTCGGTGAAGCGCTGAGGGTCGTAGCGCAGCGGCTCGTCCCAGTACTGCGGGTCGTAGTGCAGGGCGCGCACGGGGATCATGAGGCGAGTGCCCTTCTCCAAGACCACGTCGGAGAGCGGCAGCTGCCGCTTTACCATGGCCTGCCGTGTGAGGAAGGGCACGGGCGGGTACATCCGGAGGGTCTCTGCAGCAGGAAGAGAGGGCGCAAGTTCAAATAACAATGTACTCAAATTGTTTTGTTTTTTTCTTTTTTTGTGTGTGTTCGGTGACTCAAGTTGTTTTTTTCGTTTCAGAATGTTGCTCACCTTGGACACACATGTCCGTGTAGGGCAGGTCCATGATGGTATCGTAAGTCACTTTGCCGCCGTGCTTCGCGAGGGCGGCGTCCATCTCCGCCACCACCTTATCCTGGATGTCAGGGTGCTTGGCCAGCTCGTACAGGGTGAAGGAGGTGGTCGTCGACGTGGTCTCGAAGCCCGCCACGAAGAAGACGAACACCTGGGCCGCGATGTCCTTGCCGGAGAGTTTGGTCAGGCGGGCTTCTGTACCTGGGGAAAGACAGAGGTGGAGGTTGAGGGTTGGAGGTGGAGCTCCTGGGCTGGTCGCGGGGGTGGGTTGGCTTGGAATCACTCACCATTGGACTCATTGACATCGCTGTGACGGTTCTTCTCCTCGGCCGTGTCGTTCGAGTCTGGCGGCAGGAAGCCCTCATTCTTCAGCTTGATGAGCAGGTTGAGCATGTCGGCGCGCTCCACGCCGTTCTTCTCGCGGTAGTCGATCATCTCGTCGACGATGCGCGTGAAGAAGTTGTGCACGGCCGCGGGCACGCAGCGGATGCTGAACGTCTTCATGACGTCGCCGCCGAAGAAGAGCAGCAGGTGGCGCAGGTTGACGTCGAGGCAGGACTCGAAGATGCGGTGGCCCATCTGACGGAACTCGGAGTCGGGGTTCTTCATGGAGTTGGACTCGATGCCGAACGCGACCGAGGAGATGATGTCGGTGGAGAAGCGCGCCACGAGCTCGCGGACGTTCTCGACGTAGCGGCCGCCGCCGGCTGCCACCGAGGAGTCGACGTGCTCGCGCAGGTGGTTGGCGCACTCGCTGATGGTGTCGAACATGTACTTGATCTTGCCCGTCGTGAAGGTGGGACTGAGCTTGACGCGCATGTTGCGCCAGGGCTGGCCCGCCAGGATGAAGAGGTGGGCGGACAGGGGGTCGTAGCTCGGCTGCGAGTGCATGCCGCGCCCGTTGAAGTCCTGGAAGTCCTTGATGAACACGCTGCGGATGATGTCGGGGTCGTTGATCTGCAGCAGCGGGGTGAGCATGAAGTAGGTGCCGACGTAGCGCTCGTCCTTGTGCTCGTTGTAGATGTCCTGCGCCACCTCCGACAGGCTGCGCTTGCCCAGGATGCTGGGGCCGTAGTTGCCGAACAGCGTGGTGGGCGTCACGACGGGCACTTTGCGGCGCTGCCAGTAGGTTAGGCTGCGCCGCATGTAGACGTACAGCGCGGCGCACAGCGCCACCGCCCCGCAGGACAAGTAGAGCGCCAGCATCTGTGGAGAAGGGCGTCTTGACATAAATACAAATTCATAGTCTTTGCGACATTCTTGCTTTAGAACAGTTATCTCGGTTATTTCACGGTACACTTGAAAAGGTCAGCAAAACGTTTGTTTTTTATTTAATATTAAAAAAATGAGATGAAATGTCTTCGCAATTTCAAAGCATCGCTTCGTTGTTACAATGCTACCGTTAGCCTCGTAAGTTACGAAACAATGCTTTGTGAACTTTCAGCAGTGTAAAAAGCTTTTCTTCGAATTCGAGGTCAGTTCATGAATATCAAGGACGGGTGGGTAGCTCCAAGAGCGGCCCTTCAAGTACTGACGTTGTCTTAGTCTTGAAACTCTGTGCTGTCAAGAGGAAGAATTTGAATTTTCGTCTGATGTTCCAAGGCAGCCCCTTGCATGACAGTGTCTCAGTGGCTGGGACTTCAAGGGCCTCTATCTGACCGTCCTTGAAATTCCTCGAATCAGCTCGAATTTCAAGAAAATGTTGGTTTCTTTCACTCACTCCCATTCTAACATTATAAGCAATCTCTTTGCAGTATTTTCCCCTCGCCCTCTACTTACCTTGCTCGTGCAGGTAACGGCCGGTGCAGTGGGAAAGCCGCGCTCAGCGCTCCTTGGAGTGCGAAAGGAGACTGGACGCTCACCGGCCGCCCGATTGCTTTTATGAACTTGGGCGCGCAAAGCGAATCGCGAGACAGCCGGCAGACAGATAGAGGGGGGGGGGGGGCGAGCGAGCGAGCGCAGGGAAGTCGGGCGGGAGGATCCCGTGCACCAAGGGATCTCCCCCGTGACATCAATTAAGTATGTGTGCATTTTAATAGTAGCTACAAAAACAACCCCTGAAATTTTCAGATCGCCTGCTCAGTTTGTTTTCGGTTCTCGACAACTGTGCAGACAAACAGTCAGAGAATGAAAAATTCTGGGCCAGTCAGCCAATCAGTAGAGGTTTACGGTTTACTCTCAGCATCAGGCTTGAGGCTGGTCCGCGATTACACAACGGGGTAAACAGAGCACTTCTGTAACGAGTACAAACAGTTGCCCTACTGTACAATATACAGTTCGTGCCGCCTGATTGGCCTATAATAAGCAGTTTTAAGTTTTATCGCCTTCTGGTCGGAGCCAGCAGTCTGCTCCGTGACCATCGACCTCACTTGGGCTAAAGCACGGCGTTTCAGGACGGCAAGGTCAGGAGGGTAGAATTACAAATTCTGCCGATGTGGTATTCAAAGAACTAATTTTCCCGGTCACTATGAACCGTCTCCCGTTGTCCTGGGTTAATTTGGCGGTGGAAACGTCATGCCCGCGCCCACCCAAACTAATATTGTACTTTAACAATTCTAAAAAGGTGTCAGGGCAAGAGTACAAATTGAGTACAAATTTTGGGTGAGTGGTACAAATCCCGGTCCCGGTCGGCATTGGTCGGTAGAGGCTTGGAGCTTGACTGGTGGCGCCGGGAGGCTAGGCCACCCATCCGGCGGTGCACTGCGGTGGGCTGCCCCACCTGTTCTCTGCTATGGTGTCTGTCAGGTCTGAGCGTATGGAGCTGCGGCGCTTCAGTAACGCTTCGGGACGACCGCGGTGAGTAAGTGGCCGTGTGGGGTGGCCTGGACATTTTTTTTTTAAATCGTCATCGAGGTTTGCAACCTCTAAAAATTGAAATTGTAATGACAGTGTGCAAAATCTGGGTAATAGACAAAGTTTTCCTGACCCGGATCGCATTTGGGACCGAAAACGGTTGACACCGGTCGGAAACTCTGAATCCGACCAGAACAACGGGGATAGGTCGAAAATCGTTACAGATTCAAGCCGGAGTGCCAAATTACGGCCGGAAAGAAAGAATACGGTCGGAAATCACATACATTTGCGGCCGGAGTGCCATTTTCCAGGCGGAAACCTGGCCGGATTTTTTACCTGTGTAATGCAGTTGGTCTAACTTCGAAAGTTCCGATTGGAGCGTTGGCACTACTCGGTTTTGAGAATGGTTTTAGTCTGGTCCTAATATTAGCAAAGAAATAATATCGAAAAAGGGTTCGTCCAGAAAGTACATCCATTTTTTACAGGTTCATTCGGCAAATTTTGAGAGCTCGGCGCCTGCGAGACTCCGGGTAGGCCACCCTGCAGTACGCCCATGCTCTGCTGGCGAGATGTTGCCTACCTGCCAGGCGTTAGGGGTACTTGTAGAGGCTGGACTTGGAACGTTAGTAACGGTAAATGGCGGACGTACTTTGTGGATGATCCCAAACACAAAGCTGTTGAGTCGAACATGACATGATCTGTCACGACACTTACGCCCATTTAGGTGACGTGGTTGCTGTGACACCGTAGTCTCCTCGGCAGTTGAGGAGGAGCACTGGTACAACAAACGTGTGAAATCACGCCTTTAAAGGCGTCAACGTTTTGATTTTTTCGAAATATTTTCTGCTGAAGCAAACCAAGGTTTGTAGGACTAATATTTTCGCATTCAGGTCAAAATTCCGCTTCGAACGAGCATACGTGATATGTGTCTGAAGAACGGTGAAAGAAGTCACTTACCCTCAGGAATCTACTAAATTTATTTCATTTGAGATTTGAACCCTATCACATATGTGGTCTTGACCGAAGCAGAATTTTAAGCTGAATACGAAAATATAAGTTCTACAAACCTTGGTTTGCTCCAGCAGAAAATATTTCGAAAAAATCAAAACGTCAACGCCTTTTGACTTTAACGCCCCTGGAAAGGTGTTAATTCACACCTTTGTTTTACCAGTGAGGGGCCGTAGGGTCTTGCCTGAGACGTGCACCGTCGTTCCTGGGCATTAGACGAGCGCAGCGGCTGCTCAACATAATAGTCTCTCTGGTGGCCGCTCGGATGTCCCAACTTCAAATGCGATCTGGGCCGGGCAAACGTTGTCTGGTGGAGCCCAGACTATGCACAGAGTAGTTACGAAGGTCAATACGATATTTAGGGGTGCAACCTCTGAAATCGACGACTTCGACCTTCATTTTAATACGCGCAAACGCACACGCAGTGATGTGCTGATCATTAAACACCGCACCCTCGCACGCCGGTGCCCTGACTGTTGTGTCCAGGACGCCTCCACAGTTTGTTCCTTGACCTTCCTCCCGCTCCTGCGAGGCGGAGGCCCGTCTGGTCAGCGCCCCCCCTCCCCCTTCCCCCCCAAGCCTGGTCCGGCTCTTGGATGGAAATGAAATGGGGAATGATTAAGCTCCCGACGCAGGAGGGGGGGG